TTGTGTGTGTGTGTGTGTGTGTGTGTGTGTGTGTGTGTGTGTGTGTGTGTGTGTGTGTGTGTGTGTGTGTGCGTGCGTGTGTGGTGAGTGAGTGAGTGAGTGAACATTTGCCTTAATATGGTGAACGATGGTTCCGAAAGGGCGTTCACCAAATAAATCATCGTTTTTCTCGATGCGTGAAAGCCTAACCGATGCCGAGGGCCCCCAAGGATGTCCTCGATACAAGTCTTGCCTGCTATATGGCCTGAATGCATGTGCATGCACATACCGTAAACCTGACAGAGATGACAAGAACGAGCTGCCCACGAAAAGGACTTTTTGCACGCGAGCAGAATCGCTGCACGACGCGTTGTGTGTTCTTTATGTGACTTGCATCGACTACCATTCGCTGTGTTATAGGACAACAGGCTAATGCTTGATGAAAACGACACGTGAAACATGATTTCATGTGTTTAGTATAAAAAATAACGTGAAAACGTGAATGAATAAATTAACAGCTTATCGCTGGTCTGATTTGACTTTACACATCTTGCTATATACCGCCTCTTTTATTAACAAATCACTTACGTTTCTCTCTCTCTCTTTCTCTATTATTACTTTTATTTTTACACAAGACAAGTATATTTTTCTAATATTTATATTTACGCGATGTGTAATCGTTGAGTATTTTTCATCGATTTTCCATTTTAACGCATAGGGCTTGTATATCCCCTCCGCATATCTCATTACATTACATTACATTTCTGCAAACTGTGTGTCTATCGCTCTTCCCATTCCCGTTTCGAGTGCTCGAGATCGTTACGGAAAATTAATGGTACATCGACACGCAACCTTCTGCTTACAGCCGCAACCACACCGAAAGACTGCAGCCCCACACTGTCGCCATTGAATGCATTCTCAAGGTCTATGGACAATTCCTCGCTATCGCGATCGGTCGAGCAACTATCCAGCCCGCTGGAATCCGAGCCGAGGAGGAACAAGCAGCCACCACCTGTCGTCGCACCTGCCGCGCATTCGCGATCGTCCGCCACTCGTGGCGGCACATGGGGCTCCATTTCAAGGTAAGGAAGCCTCGTCCCGTTATAAAAATTCTGAACATTTTATCGCGCAAAACGGATCGAGAGCAGTTCGCCATGCAAATGACATTAAACTCAATTCCGATAATTATTTCTTATATAATTATTTTTGCTCTCCCTACACATCGTTCTTGGCGACATCGATCGAGTGAAATATCGATTATTTAGCCCGTTGCGTAAACATTTAATGGCAATTATCGCCGGAGGAACGAATGATTTTATCCATAAATACGAATTAAATTGTTTTCTCATGATGGATAATTTATACGTGATGTATAATACAGAGCGGACGGTCACGAATAATAACTTCGATGGAATAAAAAGCATTGGGAAGTTAATGACGAGAATCACTCTGTGGAAACGATTTATTAGCACGACGATGAATGGTTTTACCAAGTGCACGATGTATTCATTGATTTTACAATCTCGTGCGCTTGCATGTAACAACCGTTATACCGTCGACATTTTTGTACTTTGATGACAATCATTTTTGTACTTTGTACTCTCAGTATTACTTCAACGGAGTGTATGATTATCATGCAAGTACTTACTAACTATGTACTTACTTCCTAACAATGTACAAACGAGTGAAATGAACTCATAACACGACAGAAAGGAAATTGTGATTTTACGACAACAATTACTTTATATTATAGCAAATGGAAGCGATGAAGATCTCCGTGATATATAAAAATAAACTTAAAAAAAAACTGTGACATAAAATAATAATTCTCTAATCAGATCTTTTTTTTGGATACAATCTGTCAATTTTTTTCATCATATCCATTGAATATCGTAACCGATACATTGATAAGACTTACATTCGCGATCTAATTTTATTCTAAATAAATGGTACCGAATCGCTTTTTAGCTGTATAAAATATTACATAAGAAAGATTGTATCATAATTTTTTATTATCCCATCAAATTGATAAGATAAAGCACGGAAAACATTAGCTTTACTTCCAAACAATCTAA